TTATACATAGGTACTTAAGCACACATCCTATATACGATATCGGCATGAAATTTTGTTATAAGCAAGCAAGGATATGTACTTACTACAATTTTCAAATTTTGTGGAAACATTTTTTGGGCACAGTAGGCCATGAAATTGAGGCAGAAATAATAATTAGATACAAGATAGATCTCTCTGATTGTGACTACTACTTTTTATTTAATATAGGACTGAAATAACTATTACATTAAATGTATCAGGTAGGTATTGCTTTTTTCATTTAACATTGTAAATTGTTAAACAAATTTGCTCTATCACAAGCATATTATAATGATTATCCGCAAACTACTAAGAATTAGAAAAATGTGTTAATTTAATAATTGCTATATTATGCTAAAATTATAAGTTGAAAATGATTTAAAATATTATTAAAAATGCAGATGTAGCCACCAATATATTAATCCTAATATCTATATCCATCACTGATTAACAGATTTGTATATCATTTCAGTGCATTGTTTCTCTAATGAGATAAATTTATTAGCCCACATTCTATCAATCTACATCAAACATCTTGAGATACATTTGATTGTGTGTTGTTTTAAATATGTATTTGGGAGATGCTTTACTTTTGATATTTATTAATTAAAATATTCTGTTCCTACTTAACTCAAATTATTTTCTTTGCCAAAGTTTAAAAAGTGATTAAGAGATGTATTATTTTCAATCAATTTATTAACCTTGATTTAATTTCAGTTGTAGCGCAGGCCATTATAGCTGCAAAGTGAAACGGTTGTGTACAGCCGACAAAGTAGCTGACCAAAAAGCCTTCTGCAAGTCCAAAAATGCTGTGCGAGATTTTTATGAAGTGTCTAGGTTAATTTGTCGTCTAAACTAACACTCAAAAATTTTTCCATTCGTCATTCGTGATCTCTGAGTGGCTCTTGTTTGAAAATAGTCAACTCCTTAAAGTCGACTGTCTTCAGTTTTCTGATGAAGAAGTCTAGGTAGACTTTTGATGGTTTCACCCTTATACTATCTGTTCTGTACACCAGTTATCTACTGTAATTATGTTAGGCCCATTGAGTGAGCTTACTGATATGTCTAACGATTTACCTGAAACAAATATAAGAGCAATTGCTCCATCAGTATGTGCGATATTTTCTTTAAATCTCAACACTCTCTGTATCAAGAAAAACCGTGTTTGCAAGAACTTGATTTATTAAGATTTTTTGTCTGGAATGATCCAATGAACAAACTATAAAATCTTATATTACAGAATTTTTAATATAACACATACATATAATCCAATACAGGCAACCAGCTTTACAAAATTGATTTAAAGAATATCTTTAGACAGCAGCTAGTATCAGAACCACTCTCATCTCTATTTGTATTCGCATCCATCCCAAACTTTCTTCCCTGGTGAGGCATTGACGGATATTATCAACTTATCTTTGAATAATTATGCAGTGTACTTAATTGCTGGATACTTTTGAACAGAATGAATTTTTGTTACCCACTCTAAAACTTCAAAGGACATCATCCAAGAATAGCAAGTCCACTGTAACTGATTTTAGAGAAATTGTAATACAATTTATATTAATTAAACACAAGAAATTATATGTATAGGTACGATACATTTTCCAGAGAAAGGATATGGGAATGAAATATTATCAATATTATAATCTTAGTTTGGGTTTTATCTTAAAAAAAAAATGGTTTGAAGATGTGAACTTTTGGTAAAAAAAATATAGATTTGCAAAGCTCGATTTACCTACTAGGATTATAAAAGAGTATCTACCTAGTTAACTTTTGCTCCAAGACTAGTTGTAGGTCCACTCATTTTTCTTAATTTTGGACTTGAGTTTTGTGCGCAAACTGCAGAATTATTATATTTTGTAAGGCTTTAGGTGGATTTAGATAAAAAATCGTTTGTAAAAAAATATCAAGAAATGCAAATTCATTATAAAATTCTATAAATTAGAAAAACAGTAATAATTGGCATTACTTTCGTATTATGAGGCTCATGGCTAAGCTATGTCAGTTTGTAATTTATACCCTAACCGCTGCTTTCTGATAGAGATTGCGCTTCGTTATATAATGATGCAATAGCCTGTACACATTAGTATTATCGATTGGTGTTTTATTACTGCAATTAAATTCATTGTTAACATTCACATCTGCAATATGTCGACGATACAGATTTTCCCAGAAAGATATTACTTCAGTACATAACATTTGTTCTATTCAAATCCTTTTATAAAAAAATATAGATTTTTTCACGTTATCAGATTTGTATGACATAAAATCAAGCTTATTAATATTAAATTCACTTGACATCCATTAGTTCATCAAAATTATTTAAAGCAGGCAGTATCGAGTTAGACCTATTAAAGATATTCGTTCTACTACTAATACTTATTATCAAAGTTATCAGTTATATTTTTGTAAATAAAATTTGTCAACAATCTCATTGTCAGTGTAACATCAATAGGTAGAATAAAATCAAACTATTTTAGTCACTGACAAACTTGTTAAGTTTTTCAATTCTTGTCATAAAATTTATGGCTATTAAAGAAACTTATATTATTGAAATACTACCACTGAACATTGAACTCTTGAAAAAATATACAAGAATTTACAACAAATCATAGTTATAAAATTTAAATTATTATGTGTTCACAAAAATTAAAATAATATGTACTACATACTGCTTATGTTATTATGAAATGTACTTAAATTCTATTATTGAAATCTAGTCCCGAATAAGACTTATAAGAAATACACCATGGCTTAGATATTTTGTCGGTTTTGGGTAGGACAAATGTTTTATACTCAAATCGTATTCATCTGGGAATATGCCTATTCATTGAAAAAATACTTTATAGTGTCAATCCTTTCTGTGTACATGTTTCATGGAATTTTGTAATAAAGAACACTAATTTTACATACATAGAAATATATTTACTACTTTAATGTCTTATAAATAAATATACAAGGTATATCAGTTTTTAATTGGGAAATTTTGCCAGGCGATAGAATTCGCAAAAATAAAAAGATAAGTTCATTTGAATTTGTATGTTTTAAAGCTTTGTTTTCAAGATACAGGATGTTAAAGATAATAAAAAAACGTTTTCTCAAATATCTCAAAAACTACTTGGCAGATTCTGATAAAGCTTGCTGCATTTATAGTAATAATTAAGGGGCTTAATATGATGTAATTTTTAGGTACAGTCTTTCTTTTTAAGAAGAGAAAATCGTTTATCTGCCTGCCCATGAAAAAGAAAATTTAATTTCATTAATAAAATAACGCACTGTTTTTTTTCTAATATGCTTTGTAATCTTCTTGCAATGTTTAAAAATAATTTTAATTTAAAATATAGTAAGGATGTTCAAGCGTCACCCCCCTGGAATAATTAAATTTAAATCTAATTATATCAAATTAAATTTAAAACTGAACGTCCCAAGTTTTACCAAATCGGCCGAGTAGTTTTTTAGGTATTTGAAAAAAAGTTGATTTTTTTATTAACTTTAGCACCCCGTATCTCAACAACGTAGTATTAAAACATACAAGGTCATATAAATTTTTCTTTTTTTTAAGTTTTATCGTCTATTAAATTTTCCCAATTAATATCTGAGACAGCCTGTGACCTAGGGGTCCTACCAAAGGTAACGAAATGAAATCAAGTCACTGAACTATAGGCAACCAACTCTATGCGTGAGTATTATTTTTTAGTTCAATGTGGACTATCGACCTGTATAATGAGTCGCAAGGCCGACACAATAAATAACAATTTTATCTTTAGAGACGTATAATTTTAGCTTCGGCAAAAATTATGCATTATCGTAAAAATACTGATATTACTGTACTGACACTATATATGTGTTTTTAATAATATAATTCAACTTACCTTTCAAACTTTTTTGTTTATCAAATCAAGTGTCACTAAAATTAACATACTTTCCATTTCTTAGTAATACGTCGTTTTCGTGTGGCTGACAAACATTAAATTATTATTATTATCATTAATCACATATCTCACTTCAGAAATAGAAAAGTAATGTTTAATATATTTACCCACATTAGGTTTATTTACTTTTAATAAATAATGAAAATAAATAAATATTTCATTCGATTATTGTTATTAGGGAGTATAAATAAAAAACACACAAGCATAAGGTATTATAGATAATTTATTTAAAGACTACAAATATTATACTCTTTACACAAAAAATATTTAAAAAAAGGCAATTTCATAATAGAAACATTTTCTTTCGTTAACTGCAACATTTTGGAAAGATTTTGAAAAAAAATACATTTATTGGGAAAACATTACTTATATAGAAAGAAGTAAAAAAATAATAATTATAAAACTAGTCTTAATATATATTTAGAATATGTATAATATAAACTTTTAATATATATTTTTTACAGTATGTATAACATACGTCGAAATAAACTGTTTTAGTGTAACGACATATAGTTTGACAACTAGCAACACTAAGGTTGTCATAGTTAAAACTGTACAGATCATATCCTGACATCAAATACTTTACTTTTACAAGAATTAAAACCCATTTTTTACTTTACTATACATTACTAAGTAATGTATAGAAAGGAACCAATATAAATGATTTCTAAATTCAAAAAAGTGAAAATTTAAGAAATATAAGTAAATATATACAACTAGGTATATTTTTTATCATTCGGAGTCAGAAAATTATACATGTCTGTAATGTTACCAGTATCGCAATAATTAATATTATATCGCGGGAGATATTTTTTAGCACATACATATTGGTCGATAATTGATATTGTAGTGAAAAGTGAATCTCTATTATACTGTGTACTATGAAGTTGCCAGTAATGGTACGGTCACTACTAAAAAGGTACATTCCTTAAGAAAGATAAGTATATCTTAAACCTTAAATGCGTCTAACAAAATGACAAATAAAAAACTTATGATAATTAAGCATTTATTGCATTATGTATATGAAGAAAAAAAAAATTCTCAACCTTAACCCTTTGGAGAAGCCGCAGGTTCAGCTGCAGGCGCTGCAGATGATGCAGGCGCTGCAGATGGTGTAGGTGCTGCAGATGGTGTAGGTGCTGCAGCAGCTGCAGGCTCTGTAGGTGCTGTAGGTGCTGCAGCTGCTGTAGGTGCTGCAGTTTCTGTGGGTGCTGTAGCTGCTGCAGGTGTTGCAGGGGCAGTAGGTTGTGGCGAAGACGCTAATGGGGTCTTAACGGCCAACGCTTCGATAATAGAAACGAGTTCATCCCGTTGAAGAGGACTATCGCATTCACAGAACCCTTCAAAACCACAGTCGTCTACTCCGAAAGGGTTGAAATTACCCCAAAATCCATAGGGTCCATTACGATCTCTATATCTACGACCACCATGACAACCATGGTGTTTCGGTCTAAAACCGCGATGACCATGAGGCCCTGGTCCAAATCCGCGATGACCATGGTGTCCTGGTCCAAAACAATCTGGACCAAAGTGATGATGTCCTAATCCAAATCCATGTCCAAAACCATGATGTCCAGAACGGTGATGCCCTGGTCCAAATTTATGATGTCCTGGTCCAAATCCATGAGGTCCTGGTCCAAATCCGTGGGGTCCTGGTCCAAATCCATGGGGTCCTGGTCCAAATTTGTGTGAAAATGGGCCAAATCCCTGGGGTCCAAATTGAAGAGGTCCGCAACGCCTGTCACACATCATTTTTTTAATTTGTAATTGCACTTCACCTTCACTAACAGTTTTATGCTTCGTTGTGTCGCAACTTGAAATTATATACGCCGTATATCGACCGAGTATTATTTTATCTTATATGAGTCTGCGCGAATAGTATCTATTCATAGAACCAGTGAACAAATGAATTATTATTATATACACGGTGGATAAAGAAATATATTTATCGGAATATTTTAATATAATTAAAATACTCTTTTGCTTCGGAAATATTTGAACAATAATACATTTCTGTGGAAATATAATACTTGCTAGTTACAATATAAAAAACTGTAGCTTAAGGTTCCTTCTTGAGTTTATACTATAATATTTTCTTTTTGAGGCAGTACGAATTTCAATAAAACGATAGGAGCAATTAAGAAAATAAAATTAAAACTCTGACGTCGAATATTCTGACAATTTTTGTAAATACGTAAATTAGATTGATTATAAATAGCAAATTATTATTTTTTAAATTGTACACAATAATTATAGGTATTTTATCCAAACTTAATTGATAACATATTTAGATAAGCAAAATAATTCTAGAGCTTTAGAGATTATTCTTGACAAAAAGATGTGTATAATTTATATTTGATTAATTTAAATAAATAAGACTATTTTTTCAGAATAAAATGACTTAGGATCAGTAGTTTTCTTCTTATAAGTATGACAGTGTACTTGACAGTTAAACAAAGAAAAAAATGGTGAGCGTCGATAAAAAACGTTCTTAAAATCTATGACGTTTCTCACAGTTATCTGTTTATTAGCTTGCAGTATAAATTTTAATTTTAAAGAGATATGACATTTTTGGTCTAATAAACAAAATGTGCTGCAAACCCTATTTGAGATGTTTTGCCTACACAAATTGCATTAATAAATATTTGATTGTTTTTAGCAGATAAATTAGGAAGTCATTAGGATAAGATTTAGTCCTTATTATTATTGTTAATATGTTAATAGAAATAATAATTGTTAAAATTGATTTTGTTAAATTATAATGTTTCACATCAATCCCTTTGTTGAAATACAAAATACATTAAATTAAAAAAGGTGATAATAGAAGATTCGATTAACCCAAATTTTATGCAGTCCCCCTGTATCAGATCACTTTTAATATGAAGTACAGCGCAATGTTTCGCAATATTTCGTTGTTAATTAATCTGCGCCGTCAAGGTAAATTCTGACGGTTGTTCAACCTGATTCATTATCACAAATTGTCCAATTTTACGACGTAGTACAATGGGACAATAGCTAATGCAAGGTCGCGCAATTACAAGCAACTCTCAAAAGATTTTAATATTAATAAAATTCAACTTATGCGAATTTAGTCTAAGTTTTTGTACTCACTATTGCTATTTTCAAGTAGAAAACGCTATTTTTATTTTTGATTAAAATGATTGTCAAATGTTGTAACGTATTTAATTTTTCTCACTTGTACAATCTCATTATTATCGTTGTGAATTGTTGCATTATCGTTGTGAATTGTTGCACAATGTTTTTCAGTAGAAACTGTTGTTCAAGTCGTTGCGAAACTTGCGTCCAAATCACTCAAGATAATCCGGTTGTGAAATATGATAAAATTAGTTTTCTTTATTTCTGGAATGAACAAAAATTAAGTTTAGTTATAAAAAATTAAGATTTAGTTTCTTTTTAACATAAACCTTATACCCAAATATATGCTCGGACTTTTTAAAGAGACATATCTCTGTTAATATTGAACCCATAATATAGATTCTTTGGAACATTTTTGGAGATATTTATAAAGTATCTAATACTGATTAAAAACAGTTCTCCTGAACAACACTACTAGTCCAATTAAATGGGTCTTTAAATCGCAATAAGTTTCTTATAAAAGTTGTAGAGCATAAAATTCTACATAAAATGGTCTTGTACTATTAAAATTAACAATGTTAGGGAGACTAGAAGTTAAGGGATGATTTCAGAAATTGAAAAAATCATAACAAGCAGAAAAATGAATGATAGCCCGGTCAAAATAGACATTTCAAATAACGGAAATTCCGACAGAGCTAAATTTTGGTGGAGGTCCTTGGGTACACCATTAGAAGTGTTAAAAGTCCCCATCGATCCCATGTGTGCTAAAAAAGTTATTCTGGGTCAAAGGTAAAAATTTGAGGTTTTTTGAATTTTTTTCGAAAACGGTAAGTTTTATCAAAAAAGTAGCCCCGACAAAAATTATAGATCTTAAAATTATCTATAAAAATGGTCCTTATACTTTTTTTTTAAGGATCACCATTTCTAAGATATCGCGATTCTAATAGTTGAAGGAGTCACGTTCTACATGATATGCACATTTCCACACTACCTCTGAGGTAGTGACGCATTTTTTTAACGTGGTTTCCCCGGTAGGCCTACTCCACGAACTGTTATGACGGAATTTTCAGGGACAATACTCTTTTAACTGTATGATGATTATTGATATTGATATTGGTTATTGACTTTAACTGTAGTTTTGATTTCTTTTGATATTTTAATCTGAATCATACTTTTCAAAAAGTCAACTTCAACAGTCATGTCTTATTCGATTTCTTCTTTTTCTTCTTCCTCTTTTTCTTGCGGGATGTTCATAAATTATTCAAATGAAGATGAATCAGCTGTCTCTTCATCGAAATCATATGAATCTTCGTCTGTTCTATTCAATTGGACATTTAAGCAAGACTGGCTTTGGCAATTAGTACACGCTGGAGAACACAGTAACCCTACTTTTCTACAGCCAGATTTAGCACTACAACCTTTTTTGTAATTGCAAAAAATGGTGTTTAGGAGTTTTTCCAGAGCAGGTGGAAGTAAAGTTTGAATCGGTTCCAAATTATTATCTGTTAATTTCCAACCCCAGTCTTCTGGGTTCAATTGATTGCCTAGCCATGTCTGAACTTGATAGTATACCTACTCGATACAAGTGTTAATTAGCAGAAGCCGATGTTAGATGAAGACAAGATAGTTGTACTTGTTTCTTGTTTCGTGTGTTTTTTACAGAAGTTAAATATCTATATTTATCTATACAATCAATTTTTTTTTTGAGCTCCTTAACAGCAAGGAGAAAGCGAATTCCTTTTGTGATTATTGTTTGACGTGGAGAATCAATTTCTGCAATCAATCAAATCTATTTTCCAAATAATTTTAATACTGATGTCTTACCCCTTCTGAACATTGCTGATGTAGTATCGCAGCCGGTTATCGCATGTAAAAATAAGATATGGTTATGGCATTTTGGATAAGCAGATAAACTTTTTGAAGAATATATTTATGTTCGCTGTTGAGCCTTTCCAGGTTTTAAAAAGTATATAATTTTATCAATTGGAGTCCTTGCAGTGAGTAGTATTAATAAGTCAACATCTTCATCAACTACAATAGTTGTATTTGTTGCATTAAATTGTTCTATTGCTGTTTCATTTATAAGGACATCTGCGTCATTTTGACTAAAGGACTGAGTTTCTGTTGAGTGTATATTCTCAGAATAGTTTAGTTTATACATACAAGAGACACAAATAGGCATTTTTACTTGCATGAAGTGCCTAACTATTTATGTATGTAGGTGGCATATATGTGCATATCATGTAGAACTTGGCTCCTTCAACTTTTAGAATTGCTATATCTCAGGAATGGTGGTTCTTAGAAAAAAAAAGTATAAGGACCATTTTTGTAGATAATTTTCTGGTCTATAATTTTTGTCAGAGCTACTTTTTGAAAAAAATCCAAAAAACCTCAAATTTTGACCTTTGACCCCGAATAACTTTTTAGCACACATGGGATCGATGGGGACTTTTGACACTTCATTTCTAATGGTGTAGGGTCTCCACCAAAATTTAGCTCAGTCGGAATTTTCGTTATCTGACCACTATTTTTATGACTAATTTGACCGGACTATGAATTTTATATATTTTTTTCAATCTACTCTAAAAAATGTAATGTTAATTTTTATGATTTAACACTAAAACAATTTTTTTCTATGCCATTCGATTGATTACGTAAAATAATGAAAAGTTGCTTTCGAAAGTTAGTTTACAACAAAAATAAAAAATCATGTTCGCTTTGTGAAATTGTTGTAACCTTTTTATTGAAAATTAAAAAATATATCTATTTCTCTGAAAAGATAGTTTATATCTTTTAGCACAGATTGAAAAAAAAATGAAATTAATTCATTTCTCTGTTTGTTATGATTTTTTAAATTTCTGAAATCACCCCCTAACCTCTAGTCTCCCTAACTCTGTTAATATTAATAGTACAAGAAAAAGTCAATGCACAATTATTATGTAGAATATTATGTTCTACAACTTTTATACGAAACTTTTTTTTCTAGCTCTTATCCCTTTTGAGTTATCTTGAAAAGCCCCTTTATTTTATCTTAATAATAGAAGATACCCAAATAAACATCATCTGCCCAACAGTCTTTAGTGCATTATTTCGCAGACTTCGAGAGAAAGGTAACCTCGCTCTAAAAAAAGGCCATTTGTCTTACTGAAGTGAATGTACAATATAGAGAAGATATAATATATGCTGTCATTGACACATTGCTGTCAATTAGTTCTGCGTATGCAAGTAATCTTGAGTAGATTAAAGAAAACTAAGCAGTTTTGCTTTCGATTTTTAAAGAGAAATATCTGTTAATATTGAACCCAAAATATAGGTTCTTAGGAACCTTTTTAGAGATATTTATAAAGTATCTAATACTGATGAAAAATAGCTCCCCTCAACAACACTACTGCAAAAAAGTACT